TATTATTTGGGCCATGGTAAGCCTATTTACGTTTTTCACAATAGAGTAAGTGTATTTTATAGAGAAAGTCAAAGTTTCATCCCTCCCATATTCTCGATGTGGGACAAATACAACAGAGGTGTTCTCCTCAATATTTGGTCGATAATGTTGTGACCAATTTCTGTCAAGTATTTATTCTTAAAAAATTACTCACGAAGTTTCGACCAAATTATTTTTTAGTAGATAAATGGTAAAAATATTTTGACTATTTACTGACCACTTCTATTAGTCAAAAAAAGTTTGATCATATTTCGACGAATTTAAATTTTCATAATTTCTGGTCGAAAATTTGTCAATAAACATTTTGACCATTTTACTGGTAAACAATTTGGTCAAATATTAACGTGTTTTCTTTACCAATTTTCAACCAATCTTCTTTGTCACAATTTTCGACCATTTTTTAACAAATTTACGAATCCGTTAAAAATTGGTCGAGCAAACACCAAAGTAATAAAAAAACTAACAAGCATAAACTAAGTAATAAAAATTGGTCGAGCAAACATTAATAAAAATAATAAAATAGATTAAATACTACTAACAAGCATAAACTAAGTAAATTTGTATAACATTAAATAAAAAACTAAAAACATGCATTTTAAAAATTTGAAAACATAAATGTAAAATAAATAAAAAATCAATAATTTAGATAATAGGAATTTTTATGAATCAACAAATCTTCAACCAAATTCTTGATACAACTAGCTAATTAAATATCTTGTTGGAATTATTGGAGTTATTATTTTTTGTGCAATATTGAAATATAAATAAGAAAAAAGTAAAAAAATAAAGAAGTGTCGTTGGAAATAAATAAAAGAAAACAAAACCACTGACTCAACATCTAACTCATCCCATTTTCTATGATGTTGGATTAACTTTTGAGTTAACAATTTTACAAAGAGCATAACTTAAAATGGTAAATCAATCATAACTCATTATAACTCAAACTCAAATTCTAGATTGATTCATGATTGGTAACATTTTTGAGTTATTGCTGAGTTAGACCCTTAACTCAAACTAAATCAATGGTAACTCATGCAACCAATCAAAGCCTAATCTCAACATAGATGCCTACATTGACATCAAATCAGATGATCACTTATTCAAAGTCATCTAATATTTTACAAACACAATAACAAATGAGTTTGGTCCACAGAAGAGTGACGAAAACATAGACTTACAGTTTTTTAAGCCATCAACGTGGATTTAGTCAACACATTTTATCACAATGGATGAATTGGATTTAGTACTGAAAGAATATGGTGGAGAATAAACTAACATCAAAATGTATCAGTTTATTTATAATTTAACATCTACTTAATTTTATTAACAAAAAATATTTCACATGTTAACAATATATATATAAATCTTTACCTAGTTAACTAAAATAATTTTATATTTTACAATAAAATTCATTTCATATCCGCGAGTATCGCTGGCGATCCACCTAGTTATACTTTATAGGCATATAATTAGATTTAGGACATAAGTTTTCACATGATTCATGTCCTTTGCTTAACCAAACATGACTTGTTGGTCTGAATGTTAGTTCTGTTCCGATTAATATGAACCAAGTCTTCGTTACTATTATATCCAACATACTACAAAACAAAAAAAAAACAAAAACATTCGTCCATTCACAATGTGTTGTTATTCTAATTCTGTTGGTTCTATCTTCCTCAAGATGGCTTCTCAGAAAGGGATAAAGTCCTTAACGCGCCGTGCAATATCACAACTACAAAGAAGAGTGCAAACAACAACATCAGTTCATAAAGACGGCGATAAGATAAGAGACTGTAAAGACGATGTGACTAAGATACGATAATGCTTTGACTTTACCTGCATAACTTATGGCGAGAGCGTCGAAAATAGCCATTTGAACATTCAAAAACGCCAATAGACTGACTCGCTGTAACTGCAATTTAGGTAAAAGAGGCGACAAATTCTGTTAAACAACACACAAATTACATCAAAAGAAGAATTTCCAAAGTCACCAAGCTAACATATATCAACAAGGTTAAATCTGCAAATTAAAGAACCTTAATCGGATACTTACCGCATTGTGCGAAACGGATTAAGATCTGCGAAAACAGACGATGGCCATGGAATTCCCATCTGTCACTGCAGAATTTGAATAACTCCCGCTTGTTACAAACCCTAGCAATGCTAATGGCATCTGATACCTACAAAACTCAGTCAGTGTCAGGATAACAAAGTGAATTCTATTCCAAAAAGGCTGAAACTTTAAGATTATTCTCAGTGAACCTAATCAAGAAATTGCGTTATTGACAAACCCAGAAGACAGCAATTCAGAGAAATTGAAAGATGCATACAGTGCGCAAGTGAAGAAGACGATGAAGAGTGTTGCGTAGTTCCTGGCGAATCGCTTGACATTCTCATGGACTCTCACTCTAGCTTCCTGGGAAGACGACGGGAGCGAATGAGAGTCGCAGTCCCCGAAGAAAGCGGTTGTCCATAGCGCCGTATCTCCGGCGAAGTCATCGACTTCGAGCTTCGATAAATTCGACAAAGCCGGAGACTTGGAGCCATGATTCGAAAGCAGAGTCGGGTACGCTTAGCGAGAGAGAGGCTTAACAGAGAAACCCATTCTTACAGATTTTCTCTTCAGAGGAAAGTTTCCATTTTTTTTTGTCTTTGCAGGTGTTTTAAATTCGACAATTGAGAAAATCTTTCAAGCCAAAGGGGAAGAAGAAGACTCGAGAGAGAGAGAGAGAAAAAAAAAAGGAAAAGAGAAAAATGTCAGCTTGGAATATCATCAAACACCTTCCGTGCAATTACTATCAGAAGAATCTCTCCCGCCAAATCCTCAGACCTCGCCGCTTCTTCTCTTCCTTGTCAAACTCTGCGTCTCACTCTACATCTTCCTCATCTTCGTGCTTAACTGACTCTTTCGCTGCACCTTATCTCTCAGTTCGTATCAACTGTCCAAAACATGTCGTCGTATGTATCTCTCTCTTATACGCATCCTAACTAAGATAAGAGTATAAACGAGATTGAAATTTTGTTTATTTTTGATTTTGGGTTTTGTTAGGATCCATTCTCGGAGGCTCTCTTGTGTTTTGGAGCGAGCTCAGTAGCTGTAAATGAACACATCGAAGAAGACGACGAAGATACAGCTTCTGGGTCTTCTCCTGCTTCGAAAGAGGTGAAAAATCTATAGAAAGTCCATCGCTTTAATATTCTTTTTTTCAGCTCCATCTCCATGTCCATGGTTTGATCATATATAAGTTTCACACAAGTCAAAACTTCGAGTCTGATTTGATTGATTTCTAGTTGGTGAGAGGAAGCACCAGAATTTTGTATGATTGAACAATGTTGAACAAATTGAAGCATAACAGGAACGATTTTGCTTCAGTCCCAGGGAAGTTTAGCTAAGTCTAAATGCCAGAAAGATTTGCAGAAAGAGTATGAGAACTTGTTCTGATATAAACTCCAGGGATAAAAATTCGAGCTTTTGCGGAAAAAATCGAGAAATAACTCGCATGGTTTAGTTCCTCGTCTCTTAAAGTTTGATCTGTCTGTATTTCGTGTATTCTCATCAGTCATACTTGTTTATTGCAGATATGTATAGAGTCAATATTTCCAGTGCACGAAGAGGTGAAAATGTGCATTTCACATGCTGCTGATTCGATAGGCTTGAAAGAGATACCGAAATTCAAAGTTGAAATGGGAGATGAACATGACTGGATAACCAAAAACCAGGTGAGTCTTAAGTTAACAAGAACTTAGGTTCTGTTTCATTTACGAGAACTTGTATAGTTATGCTCACAAACTCGCACGGTGACTAGATTTGTTTGCAGGAATGCCACTTGAAGCTATGTCTTTTGGTTCATATTTTGCAGGAATTGTTTCAGCCTGTTGAAATCGCCGAGAGACTTTGGATCGTACCTGAGTGGACATCTCCTCCTGTATGTTCTTCAAGTATCACATCATAAAGACACTACCGTCTATATTACAAAGAACTGTCCTAGCTACTGAATTTTCAGAGTATGAATCTCACTCTTTCAATAAGTTATGTGTGGCTTAAAGTACTCTTTCACTATTCTTTGCAAGGTCGCTGAAGCTGTAAACATCATTCTGAACCCTGGCTTTGCGTTTGGGACGGGAGAACATCCTACTACTAAGCTGTGTCTACTGCTTCTACGAAGTTTGATCAAAGGCGGAGAAGCATTCCTTGACTATGGTACTGGTTCAGGGATACTTGCAATCGCAGCCCTCAAGGTATTTCATGCCTTTTTTCAAATCTTTCACAAACCATTAATTCAAATCTTTATGTATTCTTTGTGTATCGCTCATATAAAAAAATTGCAGTTTGGTGCTGCATCTTCTGTTGGTGTGGATATTGATCCTCTAGCAATAAGATCTGCGAGTCATAATGCAGCTCTGAACAACATTCAGTTGGAGAAACTGGAATTGCACCTTGCACCAAGTGAGAATAGCTCTTCCGGAATAGAAATACCATTGCGAAAAGAACAGTTTGATGTGGTCATTGCAAACATACTCTTGAACCCGGTTATGGAATTGGCAGATCATATCCTTTCATTCGCCAAACCTGGAGCAACCGTTGGCATTTCTGGTATCCTATCTGAACAGGTAAATAAAGAGTTCTCTCTATCATCGCAATAGTCATGCATTGTGAATTTGTTATAGCTACCTGCAAATGATGTGAAGCAAAAAAAAAAAAAAGACCATAAACTGACTAATTCAATGCCCTATTTGTAGCTTCCAAAGGTAATAGAACGGTACTCTCCCTTCTTGGAGGACATTTCTACAGCCACAATAGATGATTGGGTATGCATGAGCGGTACCAAGAAAGGGGAGTTTATTTGATAACTAATCACTTCTTCAGTGTTATATTAGAAAATAGATGATAACATAAAGCATATGCAAAGAAAGGCACAAAACAAAAATGCCTGATGATCTGCCTTAGTGGAGTTGTGTAAGAGGCTACAACAACACATGACATGAAGCTTAATGCACTCTTCATTGTTCTATTCAAAGATTCAAATCTATGATAAATTTAAAATTTCTGTTATCACCAACTCTGGTAGTAACTACTGTGTTTAGATTGTACTGAAAAAAAAGAACAAAAATCTGTCGACATGGACTATCTTCATGTCGTCCCTTCACCTCTTGAGTTGTCTTCTTCCCAAAGAAGAGGTCTTCTTAGGAATGTACACCTTGTAACTAACCTGAACAAATTCAAAAGAAAAAAAAGGAACAATTTAGTTTCAACAGAAAAGTTTGGACTCATGTAGACTTGACAAGAAACTACAAAGGAATCAATAATATTTCAAGCAATGCAGGAAGTTTACCTGAACCATTTCTCCACCCCGCATCACAGTCATCGTTTTCTGTTCGTATTGTGACTCATCTTTTGCTTCACCAATTGTCTTCTGCTCAGACTGGGACTCTCCTCTGGTTTCATCTAATGCCTCAGCGTTAGCAGCATGAGAAGAAGACTGCGCGTTAAGAGTAGAGCTAACTTTTGTTGGTTCTATGTTTTCACCACCATTCTTTGTTGCCAGAACTAGAGAACTTTCTGGACAGTTCTTGTCAATGGTACTACCATTGATGCTCTCTGCTTCAGCATCTTCGCAACCAGCGGCTTCTTTCCCACTAGCCGGATTTAAAGAACTTTCTTGTTGTCCCAATACCGGTCTAATCAACTTTCGTTTACTTGAACAAGAGCTAATACCAGAACTAACTTTAACCTTGACCGTGTCACCAGACTGTTGAGAGGCAGTATCAGGACATACTGTTCCGGATTCACTGACATTATCAACCTCATGTAAAATCTTTTGTGAATCCTCAAAATCTCGGCTATCTGTAGAAACACAGAGCTTTGTCTGCTCCATGAGTCCATGGTCTTGTGACTCCTCAGTTTTTTCGGATTCAATTTGTCGAAGTTCTCCTTCTGAAACAGAAGACACCTCTTTTCTTGCTATTCCAGTCGTTTGAGTCTCTCCGCGAAACCTTTTTAGATTCTCCAATGCTCTCTTCTTTAGAATGGCTTCCAGGTCATCATCTTTCAAGCTATTGTCTTGATGAAAAGCTTTGCTAGTTTCAGATTTATTATCCTCCCCAAATTCATCGTAGCCAACAGTTTTACGTCCACTACCAGAATCAGATTCCTCATTATATCCTAACTCTCTATTACCAGAATCTTTGCTGCCTTCGTGTCTTAGATAGACATCCTGGTCATCTACCATGTCTTCTTCCTTTCTCTCATCTTTATCATAATTATAAGATACAACAATTATCGATTTAAGCCTCCGGGAATTCTTCTCGGTCATAACTTCATCTTCCACTTGCCAGCATTCATCAGGTTCACTATCTTCCTCTGACCCATCTTTGCTTCTTTTCCGCGTAGCCTTAACCTCACCAAGTCTTCCTCTGTCCCTAGTCCTTCTCTTTCTGTCACTCTCGCTACCGTCATCGCTCTGGCTATCCCCAATGGCGCGCGAATCACTGCTTGTGGAGCTTGAACTCGAAACTCTCTTACGTCTCTTTCTTGAGCTGA